TTTCTATGATCCCAATATTTAAATAAGAAAGTGAATAATAGAAATAGGAAAATTCATTTTCATTTCCTCCATATTGACAAAAATGCATTCATAATTAAGAAAAATAAGTTGTATTGTAAAAAGAGAAAATTTACCTTGCAGAGAAATGTCTGGACAGCAGTGAAATTTATGCTAGAAAAGGCAGACTGGTGCCATAGTTTTCCTTTTGAAGGTATGAAGAAGAGATCCAATGAAAAATGACACATGCTTTAAGCATTTTAGAAAGCTGGCAACCAGCAGAGTGTCTTTCCCTCCCCCTCCCCCTTCCCTCTTCCTCACCCCTTCTTTTTTTCTCTTTAACTTTCTGCCTCTGAACAAAGAGGTCGGCAAAACTAGCTAGGTTGTAATGAGTTCTGTGTCCCAAGCCCATTAAGGGCATCATGGAAACATATTGTATCGAAATAGTTTGGAAGAGAATAACGGGGATGAAAGAGAATGGGTGCTTTGATCAGCTCCCTGGGGTCCTGAGCGCGCACAGACCGGCTTGCAAGGCCTCATTCAGCTCTAGCGAGACACACTTACAAGACCATTCAATGTGATTTGCATATCTGCAATTTATCACATCGGAACCCTCCAACATTTTTTTTCTTTTTGCAAGATAAATAAAAGTTGGATTGAATAACAAATATCAATCATCTCAGAGCGAAAGGGAGAGGAAACGGCGGCGGGTGCATACCCAGACTAGCGCAGACATCTGTAAAGAGGCAAAAGAAAATATTTAGCCCAGTGAAGGGAAGTTCAAAGGGACTTTGACAACAGGTTCAAGGCTAATTTAGAAAAGGAAGCCTACCACAAATAAACCTTTGGGGTTTCCAACTCGTGGAAAAAGAGAAAGCATTAAAACACGAAGGAGAGAAAAACGTTAAATATGCGTTGAGAAACGAAAGAGGATAAAGTGCAGAAGGACAAAAGTGCATTCTCGTCCCCACGAACTTTTCTCGACTCTTTAGTGTAATTAATTGTCATCTGTTCTTATGGAAAAGCATAAAAGAGACCAAAAAAACCAGAATAGGAAAATCACACTTCTCTTTGCCCTGAAGTGATATCAGTTTAAAAAAAGAGGATTTAAAGGGATTCCTCTCCAGAACAAGGGGCAAGTTAACAGGCAGCCATTGTCTAGCCCTTCAAAAAAAAAAAAACTTCAGTTAAACACCAAATGAGAATCTTCAACTTGACCTTGGAAAGGCTCGGCGCCTCCAGCTAATCTATCAAACCACCCCAGTGACAATGATGTATTTCCAAGTATTGTCAGATCCTGAAAAGATTGATAAATTCGCTGCTGTTACACCCAGAGTCAGCGTTCCCCTTTGGAAGGAGGCACGCTGTAAAAAGCGCACCTCCTCATCCCCAGGTCGGGGGCGGGGAGGCTAGCGGGGTAGGAATGAAAGGCCGCGGCGAAAAGAAACGAGCCCCCTTAAATCAGTCTGGCCATATTTCCTGAAGGAGCACAAGAAAGCTGGAGACAATCCTTCTCATATTTAACGCAATATTTCTTGGCTGTGGCGAGGAACAAAAGTCATAGCAAGACGTCTTTGTGACTAATTCAGTCAAAGGGTCGGCTCTGGTTCCCCTGCCGAAAGGTCACTGTCGTTGTGTATGGTCCACCAAGGGGGGGTTTTCACAGGGAAAACGGAGCCAGCTGTCCCTGTCACACTCTCCACACTGGGGGAGCGCACACTGTGCATGGTTATTAGCTTCATTCTACACCTGCAAAACCTACCCATTTCCAAGACTTTTCAAGGCTTTTTTTCCCCTTTTCTTTTTGGACCCCTTTTTTCAGCCCCGTCCACTTTGACAACAACTATTCACGTTTTTCCTGAAAAGGACTGGAAAAGAAGGGGGGCGCTTTCTGCGCTTTCTGGTGGATACCCATTGAGCTCTAGCTAAAGGAGCTGCCTTCTACAAAACAAACTTTGACAAAGTCCCAAATAGTTTGCACCAACGTGGAAACGGGGTGTTGCTAACTGAAGTATCCTTTAGCCAGGGTTCGATGTACAAAGAAGCCACGCTCGCTCCCCAGGGAAAGCTAGCCCTCCATTTTTTCGCCGGTGTCTGAGCGCTTTACCTGTGGCTGCCCTCGCTAAGAGCGACTAAGGGCACCATTTCCCCATTTCCCTCTTCTCCTTTCTTTCTCTCTTCTGCAAACTTCAGAAATGGAGATTGGCCTAAGTCTGCCAGAAAGAATCAGATTGATTGGGAAATATTTAATAATCTGCCGATGCCCCGATTGATTACTGCAGCGTGTGCCAGTCTTTAACCAGCACGGAAGACTGGCCAGGGCAGAAGGGTGGCTGGCTTTGTGCGGGGGCGGAGCGTGGTCGGGCGGCAGGATTGTGGTGCAGCTTTGGCTGCTCTTGCCCTCCTTCCCGGCCTAACCAAGAGATTCTCTGCTTCCACTCGCTCTCCTCGTGCTAATGGGTTGGGCAGAAATCTAAGAAATAGCTAAGGCACGCAAAGATGGGGGGGGGACCCGACATGTCAAGAGTCACCCGTTTGCCTTACGACAGGAAAGCCTGTCCAAGGCCATTTCCCAGAAGAGGTGGGTTGATTTGTTTCTTTGCCTCGGAGTGGCAAGCTCGGCCTGCTTTGGAAAGCCTCTGTGCAGATCTCTGGCATAGTGACAGGCGCTCAGCGCAACAAGTTGCCTTCAGAGCAGGTGCGCAGGAAGGGAATTGGAATCTGGGGGATGGTCAGAACGGCGAATAAGCCCGGAGGCTCGGAGAGCTTTCCTGGGATTCGGAAACTAGACTGAATCTAAAAAAGGGAACCAGCATGTTCCTGGATACCTCTAACCTAAGCGATCGCGAACAAGCTTGCAGGGGTACTCGGCGAGCGCCTAGATTTTTTTGTCAGGAAGATCCAGTTCTTCTCTGTGTGTCAGCCGTGGTTCCGACATAGAAATGGCGTTCTTCCCTTTGCGGACCCCTCGAGCTGTCCGCAGCCACTGGTATACCTCGGTCGCGCTCGTTCAGGCCTCAGGCAGGCCCACGATAACGGGGCCCCCTCTTGGAGACCTCCATGCGCAACGACGCCAAGCAGGCGGAGACCGTTTCTTGGCTGCCTCCTTCTTTCAGATCAGACCTTCAACAGCAAGGAGAGGGAACATAAAGTTCTGTCAGGGGGATCCTCCCTTTCCTGGGGTCTCGCGAGCCGGCTCCTTGCCGACTCCCCCGGACCTCGAGTTTTTAGGGGAGAAGCAGGACGCAAGTGCGTCTCCAACCAGGGTCCGTCCCAGCCGCTCGCCTCAGAGCTTGTGGAGAGTTTGGCCAAGCTGTCCACGAAGGCGCCTAGCACTCGAAAGTTGGACTCAAAGCACTAAGCAATCTGACTGAGGCCTTTGGGGTTTGCCCTGCTCCTGCTAATGACGAACTAAGGCCGGGGACAGCTGGGGGGGGGCGAAGAGCGAAGCTTTTAGGAGACCCAGAAAGGCTCCTGCGCACCAGGCTGTCGGCGCGCTCAGCTGAGAAGGCAGCTCTCTCTACTGCAGCCGCGCGCGCCTCATTCACGGCTCCAGCCCTCATTCTCCCCCTCCCTCCTCCCTCTTTTGTTCGCCTTAAAAGTAATGTTGTGAATTAAAAGAAATGACAATGTTTTCTCCCTGCTCGCAAGTCCAGAGAAGAGCCCTTGAGCTTGGCAAAAATCAGGCGAATCATTCAGCGTGCCACCCCGCACCTGTGATCTTGGCATTGAAAGCCCCGCAGACCTATTCCCTATTAAACTTAATTATTCCCTCAGGCACACAATGGTTGAAATGGAACAGGTTGGAGTCTGTTTATTGGCCGTAAATGTTTTTCTGAAGATCTTCTGAATCTCATTGTTAGCTTGTTGTTTGAGGCTGCCCTCGTTCTTTCAGTCTAGAGTAGCCTTGGACTTTTCAATTTTCAATCGTAACATCTGCTTAATCGTACGGATCAAAATATGGAGACACAAAACATATGTAATGGTGGATTTGTTAAATCCTGGTAATGAGTTATTAACAAGGGAAAACAATGGGCCAGGATTGTGAGAGCCTTATGGTAACAGAGTCACTTTATGCAACGTTCGACGTTCCCTTTCTTGATAAATGGAACTAAGGTCTGAACGCCAGGTGATAGCAAGAAAATCAATGTCTTTAGAGGCCAGCATGGAGACTTTTTTTTCTGTGTGAAAAATTAGAAAACATAAAATTTAATTGGCTGATAGGAGAGGGGAAAGTAGTGATCTTAAGTTTAATTGCCAGTTGAAGGCTTAGCAAATGGAGACAAAAAAAAAAGCCCCAAACAAAAAAAAAGAGAGACTCAGGCCTGTTTGTTTGCTTGCATCTCAGCTCTTATTGCAAGTGTATCATTGAAAATGTGTTTTATTATAACACATGTCATGCTTTACAGTTCCCATATTGTGTCAAGACAATGCTTAATGGTACATTAAAGACAAGCAAACCATGCCAACACGTCTTGGAGACATTGTAAGGGCCTCTCTCAATCTCTTTGCTTGTTTTAGGCAGCTGCAGCCCAGCACCCAGAAACACAAAAAGAACAAGTTTGAAATACCAGGTGCATCCGAGAGAAAGTCGACAGGGATTGATATGTTATAGCCCAGGACATGAACCTAGCAATAAAGATATCATTTTGATTGTCTCCAGCTTCCACGCCATGTAAAAAGCAAGAGGCACCCGGGAAGCCTTATTCTGCTGGCAGCAAAGCCTTTCCCCATCTCGGAGTCCTCCTATCTCCCTCAGCCAAATCCGAGCACCTGTTGGCCAGACTACACATCCCGTCGTGGGAATCGTTGCCTCCCCAGGCTTCCAGATTTAGAAAATGCAATTTGTTGTGGAATGAGTGTGGGTCCATTCCCACAGGCCTCATGGGAGGGGAGAGAGGGAGACAAAAAAGAGAGAGCGAGAGCAAGAGAGAGAGGGAGAGCGAGAGCGAGCGCGAGAGCGAGAGAGAGAGCGAGAGAAAGATTTAGCGGGAACCCTCAACTGGTGTTTGTTCATCCTGGCAGCTGGTCCTCGATGCCACCTCAAAAGAGACCTTAATGAAAATGGGATGAGTTCATGCCTAGCCGAGGTTTCACACTCCATATATTACAAGGCTTTAATCCCAATATTGGCAGATTAGAAAGCCTGGGAATCCCAAAGGGGCAGGTTCTCAGTCTCCATTAGGGGCAGTTTCTTTTTCATCCTGCCTTAGCTTTCCAGAGACAGTTTCTCATACTTTTCCTGCACTTGGAGCTGAAAGAGATTGATGCCTTGAGGCTTTAATGGGATTTCTGGTTCTGGCTTTGTGCAGTCCAGCAAGTCCGTCTTCCTTCGCTGGCAGGGCTATTGAATTCAAAGGCAAGGATAGTCTGATTAACAGAAGTAGAAAGAAAATTAGGATCTTAGTAACTCTTGTATCATTTGCTAGTACTACAGCAGCAGCCTCGGTCTGGTCTCTGTGGTAGGCATAAATCTCAGGAGCAGCATCTTAGCCCATTGGGAAGTTGTGCACAGAGCAACCAGCTTTCATCTTATAGTGTCTACTGGATGGATGGAAATCTTTTTCAACCTGAAAATTGCAGAATAGTTTAGAATCTTTGATAAAATTGCACATTGCTCTTTTCAAGCTCATTGGCTAATTCCAATATTAGTAGTAAACATTCTGAAGAAAACAATTTTTGTAGGACCTCAGGGCTAAATCGTTTTCCATCAGATCACTGTAAAGTTCTTTTAAAATCTTCAGATACTGAGTTATTTTATTAGTAAGAAAAATGATTTAGTTTGATCTTCCAGCACTTCCCCCAACCACATCAATGCATGCTGTCGACTTCCGATCAAACTGCTAGGGAGGTGGGAGAGCGTTATCTATTTGAATGCAAGCACAGTGCCCCAAGGGGAGAAGCTTATCAATGAATCTCTTTATTGTTGCCCTTGATTAATTTTGGGGGGTGACAGGGAGAGAAGGAGAGTAGAGAGAACGCTGGTTTCAAAGGTTTGAATAGCTGTCAATCATGGAAGCCCACACGCTGGTTCCTTCCAGTGCCAAACAATATTATACACAGACACGCGCGGGCGACTGTTGCTGCTTCATTGGGTTGAGAGGTGTTTGTGTGTGTTTTAATTTTCTTTTGCAATTCTCGTGCCTGCCTTAAACGGCACTTTGGCTCGAGTCTTGGGAGGCAGATTGATGTCACTTTTCATGTGGATTATACGTGTGTGTCCATTCATTTATGTATATGTGTGTGTGGAGGTACACACAGACACCTTTTAAAATATTCTTCTGGCTTTTAAAACAGCTGCAACTACAGTGAATAGCTGAGGAAGAGCAGCAAAGGACTTAGGATATGATTTGAAGTTCGTCATTAAAAGGACTTGTCAAGTCAAACCAGAGGAGTCACATGATAAGAGACCCTGAGTAGCCCGGCTCTTCCGCTTGATCTGCGCTAGATTTAAGGATATGACGAGGCCATCCCTGAATGACAAGATGCATGCACGCCTTCAGGCGCGCGCACCCCCTCACACCCCAAGTGATGCTGTAGAAGAGAGGACGTTCCGCAACAATGCTACAGTGTTGGAATGGTGCAAAGCTACCGTCCCAGCAAATACCCCACACGCACACACACACACACCCGGCCAGAGTAAATGGCCTTTCACCGCTTAGTCTCAAGGCGTTCGAATGTAGCGACCATTTGACTTTCTAATGAGCGTAATGAAATTACATGCCTCCTGGAAGCGTTTGTGCCAAGGAGCCATTCTGTGTTTAATGAGATCCTAATACCGGATCATCGAATTGTAGCTGGGCTATTCAACCCTCCGCTTTCGCCTCGAGCTTTGCCTTCGAGGCTTTCGACAGTTCCATAACGTTGCCGGCGGATTTCCCCTGCCCCTTGTCCTGTGGGGGTAGGCGGAGGCGGGGGCAGCCCTACTCCTCTTCCCGCCATCCGAGATTGCCCACGGAGGGCAAGGGAACTGAAAGCTGGCTAATTGCCCTTTGAAGCGATGGTGCCAGACGGGAGACATGGGCCACTTTGCCAGCCTATCTAGGTTAATGCAATTAGCCTACCCGAGCGGGTGATGAGTTCCTGTTGCTTTCCGAAAGTGCCGGCGTAGCGAGGGTCATTAGCTGTTTTGGGGCTCCGAGGACTGACCGCGGTTCCCATTCGCCTGCCTCTCCCCTCCCCCGGGTAGTAGCAGCAAAAACAGCGCTGGATCAGACACACTAGACCCGGGCTAGGCAGCTGGGCTTCTCCCGCCGATCCATCGCGTCTAACATGGGAAAATCCGCACCTGCGGCCTTGGCCAGCCGCGGAAGCAGAAGCGGCTGAAGCAGCCTCGGGGCAGCCAGAAGTCCCCACCGCCTTTGCGGCCCTCGCCGTGGGGTGTGGGACTAGCTCTAAACTACACACCTCCGACTCTGGGAACTCCCACTGTGCCGCGCTCAGTTCATCCTCCTCGCTAGATCGATCCATTTCGCAAACTAGGTTTTCATTCAAGGCAGGGTTGTGGTCTCAGATGAGGATATCCTGCTTGCAGGGGAGGACGGGTGGGGGGACTAATTTTCGGACTGTATCTAATCCATGCCAGGATTATTTTTCAGAAGAGCTGTTGTCCTGCAATTACCCCATACACACACACTGTGGTGGAATTTGGGGTAGGAATTAGGACTACCTGTGCTGGAAAATATTTTGTAGGTTATTATATTTTCCTGAGCCTTTAGGACAGCTGCGGATCTCACTAACAGTGTTGTAAGGTACATTGCCTTTATAACTAAGTTATACACTGGTAAGCTGAAGCTTACAGAGAATCCTATAAACAACTGTCTGCTACATTTACCTTTAAGGCTGAATCTGGTCTTAGGGATTCAAGTCTCCAATAGTATAGAGGCCTGTTTTTCATTTGTTCCTGAAAGTGTTGAAGGTGCTGATGTTGCCATTGCTGTTTGCAATTATATTTTTAGAAATAGGAATAGCCTTATTTTTAGCTATCTGGTTCATAAAACCTTAATAAACACAGACTTTTGAAGAGTATCTTGTGAAATTCTTAGAAAGACATGATGTTTCCCTTTCCTTCCCATGAACATATGTGGATATGCAGAATCATCTCTACTACAATAATAAAAACAACTTTAAAAAATAATAAATTCATAGAATGTAAAGATTAAAAGGTATTAAAGTAAAGATACTTTCTCTAAAATAATCAAGTGGAATACCTAACTAATAAAAAGGACAAATTCTCATCAAATTTGTCACAGGAAAAATACTGCTGGCACCCACTCTGCAGACTTGATTTCTTTAGAGCCTCATGTACTTATGGATAAATTCCCAGTTCCCAGTTACCTAGTATTTTAAGCATGGGACATCAGTATTACATGATTCCAAGAGATAACTGCAAAAAACATAAAGGATATCGAACCTCGTGTAGCTCAACCTTTTGCTATCTGCTAGCAGTCTATAAATAGGCAATGCTCAACACACAGCTTTACAATGTCTTCTTCAAGTTATTCGGTGAAGTAGGGCTCCCCCTCTTTCTAATAAACTTGTTGCATTAATTCACTACAGTACTTACCTTTAGGACGTGCTGGTTTTCATGATGGAAACCTGATTTGTTTCTGAGCTAGATACTGATAAGTGGTCCAATGAAATACTTCTGGTCCTAAGCCCCCAGTGATTTTACAAACCCATTAGAAGTGTTAGCTAAGCAACATTAATGAAAATAACAGTAGTAAAATGGGTTGCTGCCATAAGGAAACAAACTTTCTCACACAAAGAAATATCCTTTAGTGAACTAGCAAATTTGGATTACAACTTTGTCCATTGGGTGTCACCCAACTTTATACCACCCTTAACTTATTTTTGAAATGAAAAGCTGATTGGAATATTTCAATGTAGTTACCAGTTTTTTAAACACTTCACAAATCAAATGAAACCACGAGAGTTTTTCAGCTAAAAGATTTCCTAGGAAAGCTATAATCCTAAAAAGCATGGATATGTGATTTAAAGTTCCATAGTTGCCAGTTAACTTAACTAGGGATTCTGGGAACTATAATCCTTATGTATCTGGAAGGTACTGGGTTTCTCCAGATAGTAATATAGGATTACGATTTTGCAGCACAGAATCAATAAGAGGGATGGTCTTTAAATAACAAATTTATTAACTGAATAAATTTATTAGCACACAGTTTATTTGCTGAATCCTACATCAAGACATCTCCTGTATCCGTAGAAACATCCTGTATTTTATAAACAATTTAATCCAAAGTTCTACCTGAGAACAGATCCTCCTCCAAATAAATTCATTTTAATTGAAGTTTACTAATATTTTAATATAATTAACATATTCAACATGATAATATATTATGTTCACATTTCTTGGGAAGTATTTTCCTTTCTAACAAAGCAATTTTGCCAAAGGTGCTGGTGAATGAATCTACAAGTATTGCATATTTTAACATTAGGATAAATTATATAAATTATACATTCAAAAAAGATAGCTCCATTCCCCCAGCTGTTAATAATAAATAGGAAAAAAGGTGATTGCCCTTAGAATACTTTTTGTATTGTAAAATACCTTTGGAAATATGTGTTATTAAATAAAAATGTTCCAATAACGGAGAGTATAGGTAGCTCAGGATTGGAGTTCTTTGTGCTAAGTTCGGTTGTTTGCTTGCAGATGTTTCATTACTCAACTAGGTTCACATTGTTACCTAATCAGGTACTGAAATATCTGCAAACAAACAACCAAGCTCAGAATCTAGAACTCATACAACTGTATGCTGGCAAAGATATTGATATTTTTAATGTAATAATGTTCTCATGTTATGATATGAAATCAAAAGGGGGCTCATTTTCAATGTTGTTCACAGATGATTTGCTGTTTAACTTCCTGGGGTCTTCTGGAGTCCAGACTTTAGCAGTTCTAATAATGTTTTGTTCCTTGAGTTGTTTTTCATCAGTCCAAGAGAGTGAATGCCCAGCAAGAGGAGGAAGTCCGTAATCTGGGTCACTTGGAGAAGGTGATCCTGGAAGGAAGATAAACAAAGGAAGAGGGAGAGCATTAGACTGAACATTCTCACTATATTGGAATAAACATGCTGTGGCCAAGTAGATGGCAATATAAATTTTCCAAATAAATAAGGGAGACTTCCCACTTTCTGTCATACTTGTGACAGGGACTCAGCTAACTGTGGCATCATTTGCTGAGTATATAATGTAGTCTTAAGCTCACTTACCACTTCATCTACCTGTTGGATAGTCTATCAATTTAAGGAATTTAATACTGGCATTAACCCAGCATGATACTTGGGAGAAAGCAGCTTTTCTCCATAGCTAAAGAATAGCGTAATTTTTTGCTGCTCTTCAGATGTGTTGGACTAATCTCTATTACAGCCATGCTGGCTAGGTATTTGGAAAGCCAAAATCTGGAGGACATTAAGATGGATAAGCAGAGGCTTATCATGGGCAAGGGCTTCTGCAGCGGCTATCTAAGGAGCACCCTAATTTGGATCTCAACTTCTTTTGAATGCATGCAGAAGAATACTGTGTGTATTGCTGGGTTTCAAAAATAATAGTCTATCAGTGGTGCAGTGATTTGGATGCAAACAATCTACAGACTCGTGCAAAATACGTGGCGCCTTAGAACTTAAATTCCGCCTCAAATGAGTGTATCCTCTTAGGGTTTACCGCCGTCTAAGGATCGCCTTTGAGTCGGTGCAAGCACATTTCACTAGCAAACAAAGGAAAGGATAAAGTTTCCGTGTGTGCTCGTGCATACACTTGTGGGTAGCAGCAGTAATAACAGCCACCGACAGACACGTCCATGAGAAAATCCGAGCGCGAATGGAATGCTATTGGATACCCATTTTGGCGCCAAGTCAGGGAGTTTCAAAGCAAAGTTTCGGGCTGCGACGATCTCTCATTGCTTGGGTGGTGGGAATGAATTTAAGGGAAGAGCTGGGCGCGTGAGCTTGAGGACGGCCGTCTGCAAGGTTTCTACAGCCGCACCGAAGCCACTGTGGCCAAGGATTCCCTCTCTCTTCTCTTCATTTGGAGGGCGCTTGACCGGGACGGGAAGTTCACCCTGCACTTACTTGTGCCCCGGTGGCAGATGATAACCTTCTTGGGCTGGCATGGGCTCTGGCTGCCAGCGCTGCGCAGTGGTAAGTCGGATTGGACCAGCTCGCTGAGGAAATTGATGTAGCCGATGGCCAGGCGCAGAGTGTCTACCTTGGAGAGACGCTTCTCGTAAGGCAGCGTGGGGATATGAGAGCGCAGCCCCTCGAAGGCGTCGTTGATGGACTGCATCCGCCGCCGCTCGCGCACATTAGCCGCCTGCCTCAGTTGCTGCAACTCGGCCTCGGAGCGCACCCGCCGCCGCCGCCGCGCTGCTGCTGCCGCCGCCGCCGCCGCACTCAAAGACTTGAGGCTGCCCCTGGGCGACGCCGCCAGTTCACAGCACTCATAGGTGAAACTGGTCGACGACGGCGAGGAAAAGGGCATCGAGAAGCTACCTGGATCCGCTTCACAGCACAGAGAGCCTTCCGGCACATTTTCAGATCCTGAGCCACCGCCAGCCCCGTCGCTGCGGTAACACTCGTGGAACGGCGGGCTCAGGAAGCCCACCTCGGCCTCCAGGAGTTCGTCACCTTCCAGAGGGTCGCGGGAAGACTGATCGGTGAAAAATTCCTCATCGTCAAAATAAGATTCTGAGGAGAAGGAGTCCAGGCCAGCAGGGAAGTGTTCCAGTAGTACCGATTCCATGCCGGATCTGCAAGAATGTGGCTGGGGAAAGGCGTAACGGGAAGCCAGTTGTGGGTGAGTCGCTGCCTTTTCTTTCTTGCCCCCCGCCTCCGCCTTTGGCTCCTGCGGCGCTGCGATTTGCTACTGCTCTCTTCTGCGTATTTGCGCGCGTTCTCTCTCCCCGACGGGGGCTGCAGACTTATAGGAACTGAGGGCTGGCACGCGAGGATTCTTATAAGTACAACCGCAGGCGCGTGCCATTAACCAACATCGCCAGCCAATCAGGGCTCAGTGGAGGACCTCCCATGATTAAGGGGGAGCGAGAGGGGGAGCATACACCTAGGCTGTTTCTGAAGGAGAGCGAGAGCAAAGTATGCTCTCTTTTGGTGTCCTCGTTCGCGTGTTTCCTTTCACCCGTCAGCAGACAGTTTAACGCGTTAGTACAGTTACCTCCATTGTATTCTGGAAGGATCCATGGAGTGCCACAAAGCAACTCTTGGAGAAGTTGGTGTAAGCAACCTGTCTTCAGGCTTTTCTACTGTCCCAATCTCACTCTGCCCTGCGCAAACGTCTATCACCCTCACTCCAGATGTGCGGAGGAGAGAGGAAAGGAAATCTAGTTCTGGTTGGACCCTGCCGGATCTACCTGCTTCAGTGTAACTAGAATCGGCCTGGGGAGAGGGGAAGACTTAATAATTATACTCTAAAAATTATGCCCTATCCAAATCCCCGTTTTCACGAACTTTTAGTATTAATTATCTTGCTTTTTCCTGCCCAACCATTGCCTGGCTAAGACTCATTACCGCCTCTTTAAATAGAGTATTAGATAGATCGTCAAAAGGAAGAAACATAGAGGATTAATCGGAAAGCTTATTCTAGATTGTTAGCACTTGCTAAATAGAGATACTTGTCCAAAATACTTTCTCTAGATAAATACTTAAGTCCCCTCCCCTTGCTGCCTTGGATACCGGAAGATCCTGATCATTGACTTCAAAAGTTTGCCATTCCCTCCACAGGGAACAAAGTCAAGGCCATATCCTTGAATTTTGACACCTGGTGTGATGGTGAGAGCAAATAGAACCACAAACATGGAATATGGAGGCTCAGTCCTAAGTGTGTAGCAAAGGCAAATGGTGTGCTAACTAAAAGGCAGGTGCACTGCACCTGCGTCAACTAAACCCAGTGTTTTCCAGTTACAAGTTTTGTAAAATTCAGACAAATACATTCTTGGTATATTTGTACAGCCCATTAAACCAAAATGTAGATAAATTGCTGTCCCTTACTATATGAACCAAAGTCAATTATTTCAATATATTGTTGTCCATATCTCCATTTTGTCATAGAAAGCAAGCCATGATTCAGCATCTCTGATTTATGATGTTGTGAATTGTCAAGTGAGAGAACTGCTCTGGTAGCCATTAAAATGTCCCATATTAATAGCACTTGCAACAAATCATAACTCACTTTTCTAACTTGAAGGTCTTTCACTTTTCCCTTCTCTTCTTCTCATGATGGTGCCAAAAGACATTGCTGCCTGAGGCCAAGATCAAGACTGGTTTTGGTAAAGAGCTGCTGTGATACCTAGGACAAATTCCTAAAATTGATATGACTTCCTTGCAAAGACAAAGATGGATGCCTCATTTTGCCTGCCCGGTGCTAGGTCTGTACCAGTCAGATGTTGGGATAACTTCTAGGAGATCACAATTCAAATCCACCCTCAACCACATAAACTCTCTGGAAGACTTTTGGCAAGCCACCTCTCTCAGCCCAATCCTTTGAGGCAAAGGATTCTTGTTGGGGAGCAGGAAATGAAAGGCTCTTTTTATGAGTTTCTCTTGAAGAACAATATATCTAACAAAGAATAAAATAAATGGAAGGAAATAAGGTTGGTTCTGCTTTTCTTTATTGGCAAAATATGTTTACTTTCAAAATGTATTTGCTCAGGGGCATGGTCTTTTTCTACTGCATGCCTATGCTCTTTACTCTGAATTGTATTGCTACAATTAAAAATACAGATTCACCAAATTATGTGCAATATGCCTGAGATGGAAGAATTGAAGAGTATTAATGACTGATTAATTCAAGTTAGAAAATCTCATGATTCAAGAGCTTATGGCTACCATCTCCACCAACACTACCTACTTCTGCATAATCCTCCTTATGGATATAAAATTCACTTAGGCAAATATGGATAGTTTTTCAGCCCTGGAACATTTAATACTATTCCACACCTGGAACAGCAGTTTTTAGGTTTAAAGCATTGAAGAGTTTCACCCACCTTCCTAGAAGTCCCCAAAAACATTTAATTGCAAAAACAAGGAAGGCATTTTGGCCTATGGATGGAGTGCTGTAGAATTAGAAATAACCCATGGAGCAAGTAGAAGGCTTTAGGGTGGTTTGACTATACATTGTTCAGCTCCTTCACAAATTAATTACATTTAATTAGATTACAGCTGTTTCATGCAAGACAGGGCGACATAGGCAAAGCAAGTAGTTTGATCAAGTAGAAGAAACAACATATTACAGGCTCAAAAAGTAATGCAATCTTGTGCATTGTACTAATATCACCTCTCTTGGAGGATGCACAGATCTTCAAGCCTTCCTTAAGCAGACGGAGCCCTAGAAGCAGCTCCAGTTAGTGTCCACTGATAATAATTGTAGAGCAATGAATGGATCTTTGCCACCTACCAATTCAATAATACTTTCACTTCATCATGATTTTGATTCCTTCTTTGTTTGGGAAGGGAATGGGTCCAGCTCTGAGACATTCTGAGAATTAAATTTTTGTTCAGCACCAGGCTGCTTTTCTGGATTTTGTTTTCCAGTTATCTCAGTTTGTGGAGGTCTTTGAAGCTTGGCCATTCGTCATACTTTGAAATTGTTTTTTTCCCCTTAATGTGAAGATAGAGAAGCACTGTGCTCACTCTCCTGAAGCAGACAACACTGGATGTTTTCAACTAGACCCATCTTGAACAGTACAGGGTACAGATGAGATCCAAATGGCCCACAATCATGGCCACTTTGGACTTACTGCGTGCTCATTTTCAGAATCAGTTCTTTTCGTTTATAAAGGTGATAGAATTAAGATTTCTATTGTAAGTTGTAGCAATAAGTTGTAACTGCAGGATGTTAGGGGTTTTGAATATACTAAAGGACAGTAATAGGTATTATAGAAAATAGGGTCTGACAGGAACCAGTAATGGAGAAAAGTTGGTTAGTGGGAGATTTTGCTTGGAGTTGCCCACTCACATTTCATAAAAATGGAGGATAAAAACTTTTCTCATTTCCTACTCTGCAGCAATCATTGCTACAATTTTAAAGTCAACACAAGTTGATTGAATGAATTCACACATTATACTTAAATTCTGTAAACCACAGCATAAGAAAAAATAGCCCAATTCCACTGATGAATGGGATACTCTGTTTGCTTTATACTCTCTCATTATATTCCACTAAGATGAGCCAAGAAAGGCCCCATGTATCTTTAAATTATATAATTCATTAAAGTACTTCAAGATTTATTGAGGATTATCCATTTAGATAACTTTACCTATGCTTCTAAATGAGACTTGGAAGTAAATGTGAGTAGATTTCAACATACTTCATAAACTTTCAGCCTGCTGTAGAAACATCAATATATATCCTCTGATCTAAAGAAAAGATACAAAACTAAATATTACGGAATAGTGGCCTCACTGGCCATATGCCAGAGGTCAGTCTTAGTTTCCAGCCAACATACAAAGGGTAATGAGTAGGATTGCACATATCTCACATACATATGGGATTCTCATAAGACCAACACCAGGCTGAACCTAGGTGACCAAGAATTCTAATCTTGCTGTAGGCATAAAATCAACTGTCATCTGGGCCAGTCAGTCTCTCCACGCCCAAGAAGAAGTTTGCAAAGGGACTTATTGCTAAAAAGAATCTTCCCAGAATGACAGGGACCAGTCCAAGCAATTATCAGGAGTCAACATTGACTTGAAGGTATAAATAACTTTAAGAATAAAGTATGTTAAACCAAATGCTTCTAACTCCTTTGGGCAGACTTGGACTGCATGCAATCCTATTCATACAATTTGAAAGTTCTCAACAAAGCAGAATTTATTTCCAGCTTAATGAACATGCATAGACTGAACTGCTGGAATGATTTTAGAAGTGCCTTAAATGTTGCCAATACTAAGCAATAGAAAACTATTAGTGCCATACAGCTATCTCAGTATTTGAGTTTCTATCTGCAACTGATTCTTGCCTATTACATCATGTAGAATTAATCTTAAATTTTGTAAGGAGGAGAACTATAAATATTCTCTTTACTTTTGCTCTTTCCCAAACATAATGACTCTTTCATGCTTTTAGAATTGGATAACAGGATTGCTCAATGCTCATTTGATCTAGAGTAGTAGATGCAATCAAATAATCACTAGTCCTATAAGTATCTTACATTTTCAAGGTGCAGCCTCCATGGTGAAACTGACTCTAAGTTAAAGATGTCTATGATTAAAATGCTATATTTAAATCCCTACTCGTTCTAGGGATTTACTCTCAACTAAAAATGGTACAATGTTGCAGTGTGCATAGCTTCTGCAATGCTTCATAAAGCTTAACTTCTAGAGAAAAAACTGTTGGATTCTATTTGGAAATATCCATTTAGATAAAGATTTGAATTGGCTACTACTACATTAATTTAGAAGGAAAATAATCCAAATTTGAATAAAACTAACATATCATTTTGCTTTAGTTTTACTTTAGCATACTTTGATCTATTGGCTATAACATCTGAGAAGAGAAGCAGTTGGGTGTGGTGCTGCTTGTGTGTGGGAAATAGGAAAGGAAGTATATGAAGCAAATTAAAGCAAATAGAGATACTATTCTCCAGCAGTAGGATTCATAAAAAGTAATACAATAGTTGGAGGAACAGTAGCAGAAGTAGTAGATGTAGGAGAGATGGAGTAGGGAGCAGTGAATACTAGCCTTTGAATGCTTGTTGTGTGTATTGCCTAGAAGTCTGTGTGGTTGTACTAGATCTCTTGGATTTTGAAGCCCAATGACTTGAACACACCTAAAAGAACCCATAATGAAATTCATAAAACAAAATATCAGACTATAAACCTCAATCCAATATACTTTAGAATAGATGGCTAGAGGAAAATGTTTCTAACACAATACATAAGTTGCAAAATTTACTTAT